GTGGCAAAGTTGGAGAAAAGGAGGCCCATTTTGGTGGTCAACTCGATTTATGTAGAATGAATACTGGCTATATATTCAAACACAAACAACTAGCGGCGAAAACACCAACTTGATTTTTTTTTCGGTGTAAAAAATGCTCACCTCTAATCATAACAGCAAAAAAATAAAAATAAAACTCACGACCATGGAATGGGATGGCAAAGCGCGCGTGACCCTCTAGTACTTAGGAACCATGCTTAATTAGACGGCACACGCTGCGTGTCAATTTTACTAACCCTGTTGTTATGCTTTAGTTATGCCCTTTTTTAAAAATGTATGCTACTTTTTGTTTGTCTTATCTTTTTTTATCTATGAAAGATAGAATAGGATAAGTGTTTGACTACAACGGGAAAGGAAATGGGAGTTTAGAAGTGGGATTTATTGAAGGATTAGGCTTGGGACGTTGATTTTTAGACCTAAACTAATGTTGGATGTGTCGTGCAAAAAAAAAAAATTGCGAGGGCTATGTGTCGTGCAAATTAATGAGTGAATTAGAGAGGAAGTATTATCCCACTTGAATTAACAGGACGAGGCAGGGAAGAGATACATGGAAATTGGTCTCTTAATTCTCTTTCCCTTCTCATCCCCTTGCCCTCCAACCAAACAATGGATTATATGCCACGTCCCTCTGAAATTCCCATTCCTATATAACTAATTCCCCGGAACCAAACAGGATGTGAGATAATACAGTTCATCATACTTTTGGTGGATTTCTTGCGACGGATTCAAAGGCCATATCCAACTGGTCAAAGAGAGCTCAAGGACATGAAGTCAATCCACAGGTTGTTCATGGCCTGCCCTGCCCATAACTGATGCAGGGGAGACAGGGAAAATGAACTAAGCATCCATTGAAACTGCCATATCTCTTTGCCCTAAAAATTAATTATTTAACTGGAACAGCAGACGATTCCTCATCCTGACACTGAAAAGACAAGCAGATGTTCATCGCAAAAGAAAAAAAGAGGGAAATGGTAAGCAGCTCTTGATGCTGATAGTCTGAATGGAACAGCCTGTGTTTGAACAGTGCAAAGAGCTCCCTTTTATATTAACAACTGATCTCTCAAAAGTCGACTAAAAAATATTTTTATGGTGATGACAGTGAATCCATTGAGGTACAGTAATAAATATCCATAGACAATGCCTAATTGAGGTGCTGCTTGCTACAGATATTATAGGTTTCTGAAATTGTGTAGCATAGCATGCAAACTCTACTTGCTGTAGACTGCCGCATCCAGATAAGGGGATGGATCACTAGATCCAACATCTCAAACTCATCTGCTGCTCCTACCTATCTTGCAGCATTATTCCCGCGCCTGTTCAGGTAAGAAATAAAAAAAATTGTTAGGATAAACATAAATGGCTGTCGTCGGTAATCATGGATAATTCCGTGCAATTTTTTGCTTAATTTTTAGTGACAACAGTGGACAAGCCAATGGAAACTCAGTTTAACAGACCTACAATATTTTAAAATAATAATAACTTGCTTATGTGCAGTACCTATTGTCAATATGGGTTGCTTCATCTCTTTCTCTTCCCCTACTGGAAGGAGCACGTGTTGCTGAACACCAATTGATTGAGCAGTTCCTGTCTTTGCTCTCCCACTGATTGCATCAGGTAACTGCCACTGTCCTGAAAAAATGATGCACGGGAAGTTGGGGTAAAACGGACGCCATGCATTACTAATTTGGGGCTTTGCTTGCACATATGGTCTAGCAAGTGAGAGGAATTGAAGGGCATGCATGCCAACCTGAGACTGGGACTGAGAGAAAGAGATGCCCCCCTGGCCTTGCAGCGAGTAGGATGCGGTGTCCATCATGGCTTGAGATGCAGCTGGGGCAGGCACTGCAAGGGCTTCCTGCTGGAACATGCCTCCAATCTTCTGAAGAAGCAACATTTTGCAAAAAGACATTTTTAAATATCTTGAGATCAATGTACAGATGTATTTAGTCAGTGCAAATTATCTTTGTTGCCCCATACTTGTGCCTGGTCATGGAGGCCATCACTGTCCAGCCCAAATCCATACAACACTGGGCTCATGGAAGCAATCCTCATGGACAGGAACTGCACAACAAGTACAACAGTGAACTTCTCATTACATTAATGTGATTTGGTCAGCGACACTCAAAAAGGAAAATGTCAAATTAAGCATCAGGTGTTCCTTGACATCTTTCTCTCTTTTGTTTTTCCCATTTGGCTTAATTACCTCAACTTGGTTCTGCAGGGACTGCACATAATTGATGATCTCATCCAAAACGAGTGCCTTTCCGGTGACCTGCACAAAAGCAACATTTGTTTCCTCTCAAAGTTAGAGCCCTGCACGCATGCATGCACGCACCAAGCAAGACATGTAAATGACAACAGAAACAGGCTAATTTTGACCTTGTCACAGCCAGGGACCAGTGTTTGCAGCAACCTCATCCTCTCACTGATCCTCTCCCTCCTCACCTAGAGAAAGAGAAAGGCCACCAAGATCAATAAGATGCCAGGAGAAAGAGAAATGCGTGTGTACGTGTGCGAGCTTGCTGTACATACCCTCTCTGCAAGGCTGTGGCTATCTGTTGCCTGCCCTCTCCTTGCCCTCACATGGATGTATCCCTTGGGCGCCTCCTCCTGGTCCTGCTCGGTGCTGCTCTTCTCCCTCTTCCTCCTACTCTTGCCATCCTTGCAGTCCTGGTAATTGCCAGATCAAGGAAATACAATTCTTAATCGCAAAGTTAATTACATACAAAGTGGATGGCAAATGGTAGTTAATTACTAATTGGTCAGTACCTTGGAGTGAGCAGAGCTAAGTGTGGTGCTGTCATCTGTGGCTTTCCTCTTCCTGTCCACAGATGCACTGGCCTGTAGAGAGGCATTGTCGAGAACTGCAGAGGAGCTCTCCCGCGAGGCATCCTCCACCATGGCCGCACATGCATTTGCTGGTGCTGGAGGCTGGCCATGGCTGGTTTGGTTGTAAAGCAAGAAGCTCGAGATGTTCGGGGTGGAGGCGTCATTGGTGGTGAAGACTGCGGGCATCTTGAGGAGAGAGTGGTGGTGGGTTGAGGAGAAGTCTGCCATTGTTGGACTAGGCCCTGTGCCTGAATCTCCCCGATGGGTGTGTGATGGAAAGCTTGGTGGTTTCCTCGGGGGAGAGGAGGAGTACCACCTGTTGCTTGTTGGCAGAGGGTAGAGTGGAGAAGGAAAGTTGGCTTGTTCCCTGGTGAATGCTCATACCGACTTATATAAAAGCTGAGAGGAGGCTGAGACAAGGAGGGAGAAAGGGGTAGAGAGAGAGAGATGATAAGACCAAATCATTTAATCTCTATTGATGGATAAGTTGGCAGTGGGCAGTGTTAAGAGAGGGTCCCTGTGTGTTGGGCCAGTTTCTTTCTGGTAACAAAATTTCAGTATGCCGACTTTGACTACAATCATCTAGTGGTGGGTAACCATTTCCCCCATGGCTAACTAACATTCCGAGGAAACAAACTGAATCCTGAACCCCAACTCAACAAAGTCTTTGCCAACTCAATGCTCAAAATGTACCCGTCTCTGCATTTTGTTTCATGCGCACAACTTCCTTCAGAAGTAAATATTCACCCTTACAAAACAGTGCAATGTAACAGTAGATGATCTCTACCCGTAGCATTAACTGAACCTTCAAGGCCAAGAACCAAATTTCTTTGCGGTACCACTGAGAGAAAAATGTCTCTGCTACAGTACATTCCCTCCCTCTCTAGGCTCATTTTATTTCACAGGCAAGTATACGTATGGGAGCAGCTGCCGATCCCACACCGAATCACTGCACGGTATACTCTGGAAAATAATTTCCTCAAATGCAATGGTGCAAAACAAAGTTCCAAGTGCAGAGAGGTTAAATGGGAACGAAATAAGAGGGCTCTGCATGCCTCATTAACTTCAAATTGATCAAGTCACTACAGTGGATAATCACTGCAGATTAAGTCACTAGTATCCAAATACTAACAAATTTCACGTCAGTGGTCCCTGCTTTGGCCAGGCCCTACCATGGCAGCGGCTAGCTAGCAGACATGTCAGCCTTGCGCTTCAGTAGTAGGGCAAAAAGATGACAGGATATGCATGGTTTGGTAACTAGAATCATCCCAGCATTGATTGCTGAAGAAGCGAGCGAGTGTAGATCCTGGGAAGTAATTGCAAGCAGTGGTCATTTGTTAGTGGATTGAGAGAACCATACAGATGGAAGGATCCAAGAGCTAGCCATCTAGCTAGCCCTCTGAAGACTGAACTTTTCTGAAACATGCACGCAAATATATACATACATATATGTTTTTTTTTTAGAAAAGGAGGATGACCCCCGGCTTCTGCATCTGGGAGATGCATACGGCCACTTTATTGATTATTCTCGAGGACCTTACAAAGTATTACAACAATGTGCCTGAATCCACCATCTTGGCAACATATGCCGCTACTCCTATCCAAAATGATGAAGGGGTGTTAGCTGGGCCACTACCCAAACCACTCACCTAAGCCTAACATCAAAAGCCGGAAGCCGAAACTCATTCGGAAGCCCCAGCCGAGCCACATACCGGGTCTGGGGCACAATCCGGTCAGACGCACTCGTGTGTCGTCGCCGCCATCTCCACAGGTCTTCAGATCATATTGAGGCTTCTACGTTGTCTGGCCACTCTGCCATCGACGTCACCATGACGCCAGACAGCAACCTCCTCCTGCGCGAGCCCATCTCCGCACGTCGGACGCTGAGTCTCCACAGCGCCATGCCATCGATCTCCGCCGCCATCAAAGTTTGGGATGAAACACCGCTCCACCATCCCTCCAGCCAGCACTTGCTCCAAGACGATGCCCCCAGAAGGGAAAGCAATAGAACGCCATCATCATCCGATCCGAAAGACCCAGATCTGGGGTTTCCCCCTGAGCACCCCGAACCTGATGGCGCGGACTGCCAACGATGCCTCGACCATTGGCAGTAGCTCCACCAGACGAGCGTCGCCTACGTCGCCGCAGCCTCCAAGATGAAGCTGACCAAAATGCATGTGTCGACACCGAACCGCCGCCACTTCCACCGCCGCTTGAGCAGCCCCCGAGCAACGCCTTCAGGAAGGAGCACGCCACCGTGGTGTCGTCGTCGCTTGGAACAGGGGGGTCTGAGGTTTTCACTTGAGCTCCTGGGAGGGGTGGAAGGAAGGAGATCCTCTCCGAAGCCTCCAACGAGGGAAGCAACACCCAAAGGCACTGCCATCGGAGTGGCCGCCATGCCGGTCAAGAGATTCCCCCGGAACCCTTCCAGCCACCGGATCTGCAAGGCCAGCACCCAAGAACGGTGACCAAAGCCACCAAGGGCCGGATCCGCTGCAGATCGGAGTAGATCGGGGTCGAGGACGAACATCACCATGGCCACCAACATCCAGCGAGGAACCGCCGCCGCAGCCGAAGCCCACCACCTCCCCGCCATCCACATAGCCAGGGAAGTGGCCCACGTGACCACGCCGGCGCCGCCCGCCGCCAAGCAGCGCCGCGTGCCACCAGCCATGGCCGCCGCCATGGATCCGAGCCGTAGGCGGGCCGCCAGCCGCGGGGCCCCGCGGGAGAGGAGAGCCGCG